CCCCAAAACCCCAAAACCCCAAAACCCCAAAACCCCAAAACCCCAAAAATGATATTTTAGCTTGAAACAGTAAAATTTTCAGAAAATGAGACTAGTCGAGTCTTTAAAACACGAAATCAGTATTCACTCACATACCAGCCACCTTGAAGTACTAGCACTAGAAGCCAGTGTGGTGCAGTGAGCTGAGATCAATGGGGAGCCCAATGGCTTGAACTTGAGCAGTGAAGAATGAAATTCAGAACAATTTTTAACACACGAGCCTCACAAAGGAATAAACATGAAGGGAGTAATATACGGGATCTTAATGAACTTTATCTGGTCCTTCTTCCCCCTCTGCCTAGGATTACTCTACAAATACACGCCTATTGATGAATACGAAGCTGCTTACTGGAAATCAATGTTCATGAATATTGCTAACATTTTACTTGCCAACTATTATCACAGGATAATCCAGAAGAAAAAGGGTGAGCCAGAGGCAGACATTATCTCCATTCCGAAGGAATGAAGATCAGTCTTGCTCTGCCGTGCCTTGTTTGGCTCGATATCTCTATGATGCCTCTTCGCAAGCATGAAATACACATCTATTTCTAAGTCCAATATTCTGTTCTTTACCGGACCGTTGTACGTACCCTTTCTTTCGTACTTTTTCTTGAAGGAAGGCATCTCAAAGATAGACATCCTCGCTCTAGTTATGGGATTTTCAGGGATTCTCCTGATTAATAGCCCTAAAGATGGACCTCAAGAAGGCAGCAATGATCTACTTGGAGGTATATTCGCGGCTGTGGGAGGACTCACAGCTAGTTTCGCATGGGTATCGATCAGGAAGATGGGCTCTAAAGTCCATTTTACAGTCCCCTGCTTTTATTTCAGTCTTGGGACTACGGTAACATCTATTATTTTCTACCTCTACAACATTCAAGGGACCCCTCACAGTGCGAAGTATGATTGGTATTCAATAATGCTCATAATGTTTGCGAGTTTTTTCCAATTTGCAGGGCAAATATTACAATCTCTAGCTTATCAGCACGAAAAAGCGTCCCGAATTGCAGTTTTCTATTACTTCCAGACAGCTCTAGTGTTCATGTATGATTACTTCTTTTTCAGCATAACATTTGGATCTCTAGAGATTATCGGAGCTGTGCTCATAATCTCCTGAAATTTCACAATAGCTCTTCTCAAGTTCTTTGGGTTCCTTGAAGGCTAAAAGTGTGTGTAAATTTGGCAATTTCAATCCTGATTACTATAAATGGGGTTTTGGGGTTTTGGGGTTTTGGGG